AAAAATATTGAGAATGGAACATGAGATCTACAATATAAAGAAGGAAAAGAAAAGGGGAAAAGAAAAAGAAAGAGGGAAGGATTTCATATTCAAAGCATCATTCTTATTTCTAAAAGAGAGAAGAAGTAAAAAAAGTTTCAACAAATGCAATGCAACTCTAATAAATGAATTATATTAAACTGTCGTTAAACCTAAATTTACCATTAAAATTTTTATATATCTAAGCACAATACATGTGTAACCTATAAATATTTTTCTTTTTCCCGATAAAGTTAGGCTAAACCAAGTTTAATTTAATTCTCTCATTAACCTTTAACCACTTCGTTAAAGAGTCAATGAGTTAAATCGAGTTAACAACTTTGGTCATAACTAATTACACTAAACAAATTTATTTTATATTTTAAATCTACAAAATATATGATAGTAAAATTGGCACTATTGCTTTGAAACAAAAAAAGTATTTGGAAGCACACGCAAAACATTCACTTTTGTTTATTAGTTGGATGTTTTACCATGCAGGGAAATTCACGAATTAACAAATACAAAAAAAAGAGCAATTGTTTAACCAGAAAATGACGTACATATGGTCCGCGCGAGTGACGAAGCACATGCTCTCTGCATGTTTCAAATCAGTATGCAGATGATACGCCAATCACCAGCTATTGACTACGACTTTGTAAAATATGGGCTCTTTGTACTTTGTAGGCATTGTGATCTCAACTGGTTTCAGAAGTCAACTTATCTCAACTGGTTTCAGAAGTCATGACTAGATTGTCATTGACGATCGATGACAAGAAAAAATTGGAAGATTATGAGAAACAGTAATACCGTGGGGTGGGTACTAGGGTGCAAATTGGAGAAAACTTGGCGATTACAAGACGGGGATATTAGTATTTTTTTCTTCTATAAATAAAATTTACAACACAAAGTGAATTTAAGTAACTTTATGCATAATATCGGTCATAAATCATTCGAATGAGTTATTAAATTTTATTATTTTATTCTTGGTCACGGTATATAGTTAATTAACATGAAAGGTGTTGTAGTATTGCGCCCAATGTTTCTATCTCTCCTATATCGATGAATTACTACAAGAACTATTTTGATGCTTCTATTGGTGAAGACGATGTTTGATCAATTATATCGTCCTCCTTTACTCCTCTTCCTATACCAGACTTTGAACTCGAATGGGTTTTTGTTCTTCGTCCAAGGTTAATCGCTTCACATATATAAGTCATTCAAATTTTTCTCTTTGTCTCATGGTTTTATCTTTTTAATTAATAATAAAATTGACTTTCTATTTTCAGGTTGTATCATGAGCAAGACATGCAGAAGATCTATTTCTTTTGATCCTGTTGCGTAATACTATGTTTGAAGCACGACAGATCTCTTGCGTCGTTGCTCCTCCTTCTGTTCTTAGGTTTCAACTTCAATGAGGCTTTTATTTTCATAGAAGGTTCGTTGAGTTAAACTGGTAGGCTATTATTTCCTTCCCAATTTATCTAAGTTGTTTGTGATTGATTTATAAAATATAGGAAAGGAATTTGAACGATGGTTTGGGTGCTAGTTTGTTTGAAATCAAATAGTCTGTGTAGAACAGGGGCAGTTGTACTTTTCCATCGCCCTGTCTACTTTTTTGTTGTTTGTTTGCTGTACTTTTTTGTTCTTTGGTTAACTATTGAAATAATAAAATAAGATCACCATTTCCTTTTTTCAAGTACAATATTGCCGCTCAAGTTTTATTTTGTCATATCAATTGTTCTCCACAACCATATTTTCTTCATCGATCTCGATTCTTATGGTCGAGCTCACCAATCAAATTTTTATATTATTTTAGGATTAGTTAGACACTGTTTATTTTGTCGATGTTTTTAGTGTCCATCAACATAACTGCAAGTCATAATGATTGCTAAAGTTAAGCCTCCACACAACAATACTTTGGGAGGTGGGGGTGTAAATTTGGAGTAGACGAGTTGGGATTAGGTTTAGTAAGAGGAGTAGTGGGGGAAGAAATTATGTTTGGATTTATTAGCAAGTAAAGTTCAACTATATCATGTGAAGGTAGAGAAAAGGGAGTTGGCAAAGGTAGTGGTCGAATTGAGGAGGGTATTGAAAGACATGGAAGCAAAATTGGAGTAGTTGAAGAGAGAGAAGTGAGGGATGATGAGGATATTAATGAAAATGGAGTGGGGGTTGATGGGCATGGAAGTGAACTAGAGCAGGTGAAGGAAGTCAAAAAGGATATGAGCATATTGATGGAATTGGAGATGAGTGTTTGTTTTACCAATCTTATTACAACTGCCCCTAAGGAAAATGAGTTGGCCAAATACAAGAACAGGACCGAGAAGTTGAAGAGCGAGTTGACAAGAACCCTAATTGGAAGGGAAATCGAGGGCCACATAGAGAAGGTCCAACAAAGTAGCAGAAATAGAATTGCAGGAGAAGGATTAGAAAGTGAATTTTGGGTTGAAACAAATGCCTCTTGAGATTGGAGATAGAAGGGATAAAAAGTTGGTTGTACAACGGATAGTAGTGGCTATTGGTCTTTAGGTTTATGTTTGTTGGAGCTACCACAATCTATGTCTATCTCAAAACGAGGAATCATTGATTGATTTATTAAAACTAAGGTTGATTCTCTATTAAAACTAAGGAGTGTCTAATTTTGTGTCATATTACTTTGATCGAGTCTATAGTATATTGGAGGTGTTAGGGGTGTTACAAAGAGAGACCCAAATGAAACTCCAATACGGCCCAATAAGGAAGAAATAGGTTACTTCATTGGGCAGGCCCACGGGCAGGCCCACGAGGCCAAGCCCGAGTGTGAAGAGGGAAGCTAGGAGACAAAACTTGGAAGACTACAAGGAAGTACAGTCTGGGCGCCTTGCATTTGTCAGAAGACTGACATGATGGTCAGGGCGCCTAGTCTGACATTAGTACAGTACATTAAAAGTATAACTATTGAACCCTTTATGTAGGATTATGCGATTTTAGTTTTATTTTCCAATTATCTATGGGTTGTATCGGAATTTCAGTGGGGTTTTATACTCTATCTCTCCTGACAATCGATTAACCAATAGAATTTTAATGATGGCTTAATTATCATCATGAAATGGAATTAAGTATCTTAACATATATTATGACGGTTTTGAGAAAACAATCTGCCACATCAGCCTTTTCTAATCTCCTGTTAATTCACAGCATTTGTACTCATTTCCCTGTTTTATTAGACCAAATTTCCTTTTGCTTCTTTTATTGGGCTATATAGAAATATAGCTCAAATATGGACCAAGTTTAAGTTAGACCGTAACTATTATTTACCAACTGTGTTGGATTTATATATAAGGTTTTTTTAGCTTTTAACCTTTTCAATTTCAGCCCAAATTCCCTTTTGTGATTAATGGATCATTTATTATGCCCATGTAAACTCTATGGAAAGTTAGTGGTATGATATTTTATAATAAAATTGTGATTCAACTGTTTTATACGCTAAATACCGTCTATCGGTTTAGACTCCAGTAGGACGTTTTCTGATCGAACCGTCGGTACTAAATAGTTTTTTAATCCTTAAAAATTTATCAAAATATATATTGAAAATGGATTTCATTTTGTAGATACAACCAACTCATTCCATCTATGCAAAAAAAAAAAAATAATAAATCCAAGTTAAAAAAAGATAAAATCCAATTAAAAAGTTTGGAAAATAAAAATCCTTTTAATCTCACCCATTAGATCTGGACACACTTAAAATCAAAGGTCCATATCTGATTATGCAAGGGCTACGCACCCCATCTTGAACCTTTGGTTTCTTTTCACGCATTGATAGTTTCCAAACTTGGTGATTTGTGTTGTTGCATAACCCCCCACTTACCATTTATGGAAGATAATTAATTGTTTCCCAGTTGAGTTTAACGGGTTATATCTCTTTCATTTTAAGTCGTAATTGATGTTTTCAAAGAAAATTTATATCAATTGTGCTCTTCAAAATAACATTCACTTTGATATATTTTGGAAAAAAAGGTTGAGACATTTATTGCCAGTCCATACATGTGGATATGTGGTAATGCTTGGTAGTTTATGAGATCATACCATGTGCTATGGAAATGTACCATGGTTGTATAAATATATCAGACTATAAAATGATTGTATACATAATAATAAGTATATATTAATGACCATTTATCACTTTTCATCACCATCTACCACCGGTCACTACCCTATAGTAGGATGGAAAATGGTGGTATATTTGGTCTTGAAATTTTATACCCCAGAAATTCGTAGATCCAATAGATCACGATTAACCCGTTCCTTAGGGGTAATTTTTTTTCAAATTCGAGTTAAAAACGAAGGTGGTACTAGGGTGGTAAGGAGTAGTATGGGTGGTACGAAAAATATTTATCAAAATAAATGGATATTATTTATTTTATAGGAACATGTATGAAATAAATGGATATCATTTTGTAGATCACAACCTACATGTTCCACCTGTAAACAAGCGTTGAAATCCCAGTTAAAACAAGGAAAATAAAAGCCAATTAAAAATGTGGAAAATAATCTATTGACTAGTGTAGAGAGAGAGTGTGAATCTCGGTGACTGAGGTTTTTTCGTGCTTTCTCGTCGCCGGCTCCGGCATCTGCGCCGGAGCAGCTCTATTTCCCCCTCTTTCTTGTTTTACGCTAGGTTGTGTTGTTTTGTCGTATTTAAGGTCCTAGCATGTAAATTGAAGCAAAGGCGCAAGTTACAAGTCAATCGGAATTCATTTGGCAATTCGGGAGAAGAAACACGAGCATGACCTGAGGAAGAATGGATTTCTACCTCATATTATGGACAAATAATCATGGAATTTTGTCATGAAAAGAAAGAGGACGAGACTATGAGCGTCTGGGATCAAACGACGACTGATTCTGAGTCCGGGCGAGGGAGAAACGAAGCATTAAACATGAGCTGAGGAAGAAATACGGGCATCCCCTGCCCAATTACGGGCGTAATTGCCTTTGCCCTGCCCGTAAATGCAATGCCGAGCCAAATCCCTGAGAATGCCTTCGAAGGTCAAATTACGGGCAATAGCAAAATGAACTACGGTCGCAATTCCACAAATACTTGCAGTAATTGGGTAATTAAGACCGTAATTCCCCTCATTAGAGTTAAGTGAAACGCGCGTTTTGGGTGAAATACGGGCAGACCATGTTTACGACCGTAATTCAGCCCGTATTTCGCCCAGAATCAGGTTTTTGAGGCAGATTCGAGCCAAAGGAGAGAGGGTCGACTTTTTGGAGCAAAAACAGAGTTTTAGAGAGAGAAAGTGCGAAGAACAAACCCTAGGAGCTATTTGGAGTGGATTTCTCACCATTGAAACCCAGATTGCATCCTCATGAGTGAAGGTCGTCATCCCAGACTAGATTATCCTCATCTTTATGAGTATGACTACTCTGATTTCTGTTTTCCTCTCTCTCTATGGAGTAGAACTCTCTCTCACATGGGTATGAAGAACCCTAGTTCCATGTATTAGGGATCTTGATTGTAATGACTTGGGATTGATATACTGATTGATTTTAATCGATAGATGCATGATTCATTGAGTCAATTGAAGCCTGATCATCTTTTCTTGATTTTTGCTACAACCTGAGATAGATAGAATCTGATTAGGTTGTTAGAGCTTCATCAATCGGTAGTGGTAGATTGGTTATACGAGAGTTAATCGATTTACTGCTTTGTACTGGAATCTAATTCAAGTAGTGGAGTTCTACGTTTATTGCCTCAGTAGTCTATCCAGGTGAAGGCTAGTCGCCTGACGGTTAGTCTGCCTGAAAGGGCTTGGTCAGCTTAAGAGATTCCAAGCTACTGTCGGATCTCCTGCAGTTTAATCAACAGTTAATCAACCCAGGGTAATTACAACCTTGACCTAACTAAGGAGCTAGGGGGACTCAATCTCGAGTGACTCTTCCCTTGCTAAAGAACTTTGAACCATTTCCTGCTTTATTACTGCTTTTAGTTAAAATCACTATCACTCAACTTAGTTTGCTAGATAATAGATAATCACGGAGTAGGCGGTAGATCTAGACCCCGGGTTGACAAATAGAGCTGGTCACTTACTGCATTTCCGGACTGCGATTACACTTGGTTGCAGTTTGGTGTTGTGTTTTAGCGTGTTAGATGCCTAAAGTTGTTCGTGAAGTTGGTGCGGCTCGTTGGAAGCACAGCCTAGTGGGCCAATTCCTTCAAGATCCACCTCCGTTGTATGTTCTGCGTTGCTGGGTGAACAAACTTTGGGGTCGCGACGGACTGCTTAGGGTTTCTCTACTATACGATAAGATGCTGTTAATTCAACTGCCTAATCAGAGGGTATGTGAGTGGATTCTTGAAAATGGTCCATGGTTTTGGTTTAACAACTTACTCTATCTTCGTCCTTGGGTTCCTAGTATTAGCTTTGAGGATTTGGGAAGAAAAGCTTTGCCGATTTGGGTAAACCTAGCGAATGTTCCCTAGAGTATAGCGATTTCCAGGGGCTGAGCAGAATTGCGAGTTGGATTGGGGTTCCGCTGGGTATGGATCATACTACTAGGATGGGGGATAGACATGGGTTTGCTAAGGTTCTGGTGGAGCTTACAGTTGAGAGTGAATGTCTGGATCACGTTCTTTTGTGGCCTGATGAAGACTCTTCCATTCGTATTGGGATCACCTATTGTAACTTGCCCCCTATATGTCTTGTATGCCAACTATTTGGGATTACAGGTACATGTGCTGAACATCAAGGGAAGCAATGGGTGGCTAAGCCAATGCACAGCGAGAAGGGGATTACAATTCAGGGGCAAGAGAATGGAAATGATTCTGTGACTCGGAAGGTGAATTTGGATCAACAGGTGACAAGTGGTAAAGGCAAGGAGGTGGTGATATATGATGACGACCCTTAATTACAAGCCATCTTTACTACTCCAATTTCGATGGAAGGGGGCAAAGTGGCTCCACAAAACTTGGATAAATCTTTCCAAGAGGTGGCTACTTCCTCTTCGCCCAAATTATCCTCTGAAGATGAATTTCAAAGGGTGGTCAATGGAGCTAAACCTCGTGTCTGGCTATCTACGGACAGTGCTAAGGGCATTCAAGTATCTAACTCATCCTTCAGTGTATTGGGGAAACTGGTGATAGGGAAGCAGGTAAGATGCAAGATGCTCCAAAGAAGAAGGAGGTAAAGAAAGATATGAAGAAGGGTGGGGGGAAACCCCCAACTTCGAGATGATTGTTTTGTTCTGGAATGTAAGGGGGGTTTAATAAAACCTCCAAGCAGAGGGACTTGATGCAAGTATTCCGTAGGAAAAAGGTTGATATAGTTGCAATTCTAGAAACTAGGGTTCAGGCTAATAAAGCTGAGGAGGCAGTAGAGGAGGTTTTTGATTCGAAGCTGGGGCGGGTCTAGCTATTTTGGGACCCTGCCATTAAGCTTCATGTGATTCAACCAAGGAAAAATTTTGTTCACTGCTTGGTTGAAGACATTAACAAGGATGCCTTCTTCCTAATTGTTGTATATGCGTCTAACGATGAAGAGGAGAGGTTACATACCTACAAGGAGATTGCACAGTTGAAGGTGATTGGTCATCCTTGGATCGTGGGTGGTGACTTCAACATAGTGAGATCCCCTCAGGAGACATCTAATCAGCGTGTTGTTACTTCAAATATGGAAAGCTTTAATCAATGGATTGGTGAGATGGAGTTGGTAGATTATAGAATAACAGGACCTCAATTCACATGGACTAACAGGCAGGCTCATCGTCCTATTGCTAGGCGGCTAGACAGGTGTCTGGTTAATGTGGAATGGATTGAGCATTTCAAAGACTGTGCTATAAAGGCTCTCCCTGCACTGTTCTCTGATCACTGTGGGATACAGGTTTGTACAACGGCCCCCGTAAAGTCTCTGCCCAAACCTTTTAAATAGTTTGATTTTTGGGCAGAGCACCCACTCTTTATGGATATTGTAAAAGAAGCTTGGAGTCTTGGGGTTTCAGGGAACCCCTTGCAAGTCATTCAAAGTAAAATGTGTAGGGTAAAGCCGTCTCTAAAGAAGTTTAACAAAGAGGTCTATGGTAACCTACAAGATCAGGTGAAAGAGGTTGAGGATGAGTTTCTAAGAGCCCAAACCAAGCATTCTCTGATCCTACTACTGAGCACTTTGAATCTGTTACTCGAGCAAAGGACCAATATGATCTTATATCTTCAGCTTTCGAAAGTTTCTGCTGGCAGAAGTCCAGGGTTTCCTGGTTAACAGTTGGGGATCAAAGCTCAAATTTCTTTCACCAGGCTGTCAAAATTCGAAACTCTAAGAGAGCTATAAGGAAATTGGTTACAGATACAAGGGAGGAAATATTCTAATCATCCCAGATTGTTGATGAGGTCCTTGGTTTCTATAAAAACTTTTGGGAACGGCTAATTTAGACATTAATCCTAGCAGAGAGGAGGTGGAGCAGCTGGTGTGTCATCACTTACCTGACCCTGAGTGTGATCTCCTTGTTAAGGAAGTCACAGCTGAAGAAATAAGGAGCGTGGTTTTCAGCATGAACTCCCAGAAAGCTCCTGGGCAAGATGAATTTTCTGCTGGCTTCTATAAAAAGACTTGGTCTATTATAGGAGATTATATAATCAGAGGGATCTTATTCTTCTTTCAGATAGGTACTCTTCCTAGTGGGATAAACGCCACTGCTGTCTCTTTAATTCCCAAAGTGTCTAATGCTGATTCCTTGAAGAACTTTAGGCCTATTTCGTGTGTGAATCTTCTATACAAAATAGTAGCTAAGATGCTTGCTAGGCGTATTAGTGGTGTTATGCCTTTGATCATTAGTAATACTCAGTCAGTTTTTGTCAAAGGCAGAAGCATAATGGATAATATCTTATTGGCCCAGGAATTAGTTAGTGGTTATAATAGAACTCATTTGTCTTCTCGATGTGCAATTAAAATAGACATCATGAAGGCATTTGACTCAGTTAGTTGGCAATACTTGTTTCGTATGATGCATGCTATGGGATTTCCAGAGAGATTTATGACTTGGATAAAGGCATGTCTTCAGACTGCCCATTACAGTTTTAATATCAATGGGAGTCTATGTGGTTTCTTTAGAGCTAGGAAAGGAGTCAGGCAAGGTGATCCACTATCACCATACCTGTTTAATATCACTGTGGAAGGTCTATCGACTTTGGCGGAGCCACTCAAGGCCAAGGTAGGTCATCTGCACCACCTTTGCCCAAAATATATAGTGTAATTTTTTTTATGTGATTGTGGATTGAATACAAAATCTTCACATAATTGTAGATAATGATACGAAAATAATGTTTTGTGATCTGTATATAATTTTTAATTCATATGTTTTGTAAGTGAGTTTAATATAAACAAAAACTTGAAACTTAGTGGGTGATATTTGCTATAAGCTAACAATGCAAGTGTTGAAATAGCACTTACTACAATGAACAAAGTGAAGAAAAAAACACTTCAGAATAAGATAAGTTGTGAGATGATGAACGTTTTTTTCGTTGTGATATCATAACATTCCTCATAATTTGTATGATGAATGCGTTTAAAAAAATTTAGAACAAAAACACATCCTGAAACGTAGGTTATATTTTTTCCCCACGTTTGACCTACCTTAGATAAATTCTTGGCTACGCCACTGTCTATCGACCATGATGAGAGCTGCTAGTCGGTCTGGTTTGATTCCTTTCCACCCTCAGTGTCAAGAGAATATCTCTAAACCACATGTGCTTTGCTGATTATATCCTGGTATTCACTACTTGATCGACCCAAGCGATTCTTCAAGTCAAAGAGGTTCTGCATAAATTTTATCTGTTGTCTGGCTCAAAAGTAATCCTTCTAAGTGTGAAATCTATTTTGGAGGAGAAACCATCAAGTATAAGAGTAATGCTCTACTTCTATCTGGGTTCAGGGAGGGTGAGCTGCCTATCAGATATCTGGGGCTGCCCCTAATGTCTGGGAAACTATCTTCTACTGAAGTTGACATTCTGGTAGACAAGACTACTAAGAGGGCTAAATCCTGGAGAGCCAGGAAGCTAACCTATGCTGGAAGACTACAGCTAATTAACTCAGTACTTCTTGGAGTGGTCCAATACTAGATGCAGCTTTTCGTGCTCCCAAAGAAAGCATTGAAGCAAATCCAGCAGGTATGTTCTCATTTTCTCTGGCATGGGAATGATGTAGGCAGAGCAAAGGTGGTGTGGGACTCTATAGCTTTACCTAGAAAGGAAGGTGGACTTGGGATTAAAGATCTGTTGCCATGGAATCAGGCTTGTTCCATCTGCATGCTCTGGTTGTTCCTTATGAAAGCTGGAGCTCTGTGGGTTGCATGGATGTATGAATACAGATGTAGGCAGGGGGATCTCTTGTCTTTTAAAGTACAGTTTTGTAGTTCGTGGACCTGGAGAAGACTTCTTAAACTGAGAAGCATCATTCTCCCATGGATCCACCAGCAACATGGCTCCTTTTATTGGGATTCTCGTGAAATGCATGTTTACTCTGTTCGAAGAGTGTGGGAAACTTTCCGCATGAGAGCTCCTGAGGTCACATGGCATAAGCTTATTTGGAACAGATGATGTCCCCCGAGATGTAGCATGATCTCATGGTTGATAATGTGCATTGCCATTACAACCAGGGATAAATTGCTGCAGTGGGGAAAGATTAGAGATGCAGCATGTCCACTCTGTGGTATTGCTGTTGAAAGTAGAGAGCACTTGTTTCTGCGATGCACCAACTCTCAGAAGTTGTCTATACTGATGCATTTCTCTTTTCTCAATTCTCCAAGTTGGGAGGCCATGACACAGGGAATAGCCTCTGCAATTTGTAGAGACTCTCATACAGGCCAATGGCATGCTCTTGTCTGGTGTCTTGCAGTATCTTTTATCTGGAAGGAAAGGTGCAGAGTTGTTCATGGTTCACCCCTCCGTGACCCAGAAACTCTTGTTGATCTTATCAGGGGCGGACCTATCGTTCTTATCTTGTGGAAACAGGGTGATCCGAGACGCACTTACACGCTTGAGATACTTATAGACTTTTTTACTAGTTTGTAAGTAGTTTTTCCTTTACGATGAGTGAGAGGGAGTAGCATATATGTTTGTGAGACACTCGTGGGACTCTTCTTTTTAGGGTTCCACTTCGTTGTATCGGTTACCTTTTTATTCGAGCAATGAAAGCAACTGATTCAACGGGAAAAAATGTGGAAAATAAAAAACCCTTTCATTTCACTCTTAGATCTGGACAAACTTAAAATCAAAAGCTCATATCTGATTTTGCGAATGTTGTGCACCCTATGGTTATGCACTCTATCTTTGAAAATTAGTTTCTTTTCACGCACTGATAGTTACTAAATTTGGTGATTTGTGTTGTTGCTTAACCCCACTTACCATTTATGGAAGACAATTTTTTTTTCAATTAATGTAACAGGCTATATCACTTTCGCTTTAAGTCATAATTGATTTTTTCCACAGTCTAATCAGATTGATTGTGCTCTTCAAATTGACATTCACTTTTATATATTTTGGAAAAAAGTTAAGACATTTATTACCTGTCCAAACCATGTGCTAATGCTTGGTAGTACATAAGATTATAGCATGTGGTATGAAAGTGTATCATGGTGGTATGAATGTACAAAAGTGTAATCCGATTGTATATGGTATGGTATATGGTGGTATATTTGGTCCTGAAATTTTGTTTTTCATAAATTTATAGATCCAATAAGTCATATGATGAATCTGTTCCTTATGGGTACATCTTTTTTAAAATTTGAGTTAAAAATAATGGTGATACTAGGGTGGTAATGAGTAGAATGTGTGGTAAGAAAAAAATTTCTCGAAATATATTGAAAATTGATATGTATGTCACAAACAACCCGTTCCATATGCGCAAAATTTTATGAAATTCAAGTTAAAACAAGAAAGATAACATCCAAATAGAAAGTAGGGAAAATAAAAACCCCTTCAATCTCACCTCTTAGATATGGACACACTTAAAATCAAAGGTTCGTATCTGATTATGTAAGGGTTATGCACTCTATCTTAAATCGTTGGTTTCTTTTCATGCACTGATAATTTCTAAATTTGGTGATTTGTGTTGCATATCTTTTTGTGGTTTTAGTCTAGCAAATCATTAGGACAATACTCAAAAGAAAAATGTATATTCGGGTCTCTCTAAGTAATTTGTAAGTGTTTTGTTTGTTATTTAGTTGGTTTGAACTATTGCCTTTACTTGAAAATGAGCAAACACTAACAATCCACCCTTCTCCCCCAAAAGGGGATTTTAGTAAATAACCAAAAATAATGCTTGGGCTAAGGGTCAAGTTGGTAATTTTTCTTACATCCCCCAAGGAGCCGAGGTATCATATACGCCCCTAAAAAAAAATAGCACTATTACTATGCTAATAGGTAATAGCATTGGGGCTTTAATGTATAATTTGAAGTTGTACCATAACATTAAAGGGTAAATTGCAAGATTGGTCACTGAGTTTACAAAAAACGTTTATGTTTGGTCACTACAAATATTTAATTTCATTGGTGGTCACTAAAATTAGTTCAATAGTTCATGTTTGGTCACTCTCCATTATCTTTTGCTGATGTGGCAGTCAACATTTATAGTTGACCGTTTAATTAGTGACGTGGCTATTAAAAATAATAAAATAATAAAATTTAATCTATAATAATTTCCAACTCATTACATATTCATTAAAAAATAAATTAAAAACCTAAAATTTCTAATCCGCCTTTAACATCACCGCTGCCGTTATATTCTCTGTTCATTGCCGGATGAGACTCATCGTCGTTGTCCTCTCCAGGCGCCGGTCCGACTTGGCCAGAACCTGAACCGACTCCCTTGTTCATCAAATCCCCTGTCGCCATCTGCAACCGCGGCTCCCATTTCATCGCCGCCGTGAACTTCACTGGCCGTGAACTTCCAGCTCCAAGTGCGCCGTCAGCGACTTCCTTCGCCAATCGCCGCCCTCCAGTTACAGCTCTGCCTCAGGAAACACAAGTCACAGCTGCCATCTCTCTGTCTCCAGTCCGTCGCCGTCTTCATCAATCAGCCGCCGCGACAGTCTCCGCCATCGGCGAGAAGGCAGAGCACTGATGGAAGTCAATTAAACTTCATTCCATTGTTGCGCGCCTCCTTGTGTATCTTTTCCAATGGTTCGATGCAGGCTTCGGATTGCAAGATCTAGATCCATTGTCGCTGTACAGGATCCAGACCCACCATCGCCAGGATCGAACTAAACCTCCTCATTGGAAAACAAACAGATAGAATCGGCCAGCGTCCTCGACCATTCTAAACCCAATTCCAAGCTCGGCTCCTCCTGCAACTCATTCACATATTCAGAGACATCGTCCACGGCAACAAACGGTCGCCCACTGCGCCGACAACTCCTCCGGCACCAGCTCCATTGGCCAGCAGGATATTGCCTCCTCATCCTCAAGGCTGGCGGTGGTCATTGAGAACGCCCTACGCTGCTCGCTATCCATCCCCTCCGCCGCGGCCCAGGATTGGGGGTTTCTGAACGCCAGAAATCTAGAGCGATGGTGAGAAAGAGGCGTGAGGTTTAGGGAATTAAAATGAATATATTTTTTTATTTTCAATGGTAGTGATAATGTGGTGGCAATTTTAATTTTAAATTTTAAATTTATTAATTGCCACATCATACATTTAACGGTCAACTATAAAAGTTGACTGCCACATCAGTCAAAGTTAACGGAGTTGGACAGAGAGTGACCAAAGTTGATGTGTTTTACTAAATCTAGTGACCACGAATGGAATTAAATATTTTTAGTGACCAAACATGAATGTTTTTAGTAATCCTAGTGACCAACCTTGTAATTTACCCTAACATTAAATGTATAAGTTTATGTTGTATCATAAAGGAATTTGTACCATTATATTATGATACAAAGGTACAAGTTCAAGTTGTACCATAAAAAATTTTGTACAAAATGTATAATTACAATCTGAAGTTGTACCATAACGTTAAAGATACAATTTCAAGTTGTACCATAAAACAAAAAGGTTTACCGATGATGTAGTTTCTCACTCTTTGAAATTTAGAATTAAAATTGAAATATTTCGAATAAGGAAAATGCATTGCACTATGATTGATTGTTCGATAATGAAAACGTACAAGCTTTTTTAAAACAAAATAATTAATGAAACTATTAACCGGACATTAGGCCAGACATAGATACTAGTACATTTTTATATTTTATATACTTAAATGATGATGATATTTCTTCAAATTTTCAATTTATACATTCATTCTTTATGTATCATCTCGATCGAAAGATTGATAAAATTGAACATAACATAAAATATAAATACTTAAATACAAACATTCTTATAAGCTAGCTTTTATGAACAGTAGAGATCAGTTATTGTTGTCTCCTGGACAGGATGCAGTTCTCGGAACCTCGTATCCTCCTTTGTGGAACTGATCGGCTTTCGTCGGTGTGCTCGTTCGTAATGCAACACTACTTGATGTTGAGAAACAGCCTAAAAATGTGTGCTCAGTTTACAAATTTTAGAGAAAGGAACACACAGAGCAAGGAAATCAAGGTACTTATAGTGTACAGCAGTAAGAAACATCATTACCTGCAGCACAAAGGGAGTCGAGCAAGTATCAGTTCCAGAATCGTCAGCGATATTGGAGCTTCGAGCAGCTTCTCCCGACAACATCTTCAAATGCATTAGGACGGAACTGTTTATTAAGTAGAGAACTTCATTACATCCGTAAGCTTGGGGCAAACGAAGAACAACTACAGCTTACAGTTGGCAAAAACCTTCCGGACTCACTGTCAAAATCCTTAATGTAAGCTAAAACCGGGAGTACTTAAGAAGAAATAATACTAAGACACTTGTCTTTCTCAACATGGATACTCAGACCCCTCAACCAGAAGAGTGGTGAAAGCACTACCGTTTTCATTGGAAGCGGAATTCTCATTTGAGACCACTGACTTGCTCTTAAGCACATGATAAACGTTTTCACCTAACCCAATTTGCAATTTCTAACCCCTACATTGGGGTTTCAGAAAAGGATACTGCGGCACTTGAATTCTCTTCTTGGTTGGGAAAGAAGGCTTTTCGGTTGCAGGACCAGAAACCTCTTGCTTCTTTCCGGTACTTCTCTTTGGCCCTTCCTCTTTGCTAAGGCTTCGATTCCCAACATTTTCCTCACCAACACCATTATCTTCCCTGCCACTTCTTGTGTCGTCGCCGAATTGCTTTACTTCTTGATATGAATGACAGTTGGTGAATATCGGGAAACATCTCTGAAGCATATCTAAGCCTTGACCTAGTCCAAAAATTCATCCTGTCAAGTCTTCATACATTTATCTTCGCAATTAGAGCATCACCATGCCATCAGCCAAATCAATATGGAAAAACTCTATAAATAGGGCAATTAGTGAATAACCCAGCAGATTTTGCGTTGGCAGATAGGGAGTAGCCTTGAAAAACAAGCATGAATCACCAACTACCAGTAGTCTCCACAAGAACAAGAACCATCCCTGAAATGATGGAACCGGCTGCAATCCCGAACAGTAATCTCCCTACCATAGACCTTCGACATGAGCTTGATCACCACATGACAATCACCACATATCCTCAAGTTGTTGAACACCCTTATGGGGGTACCAGGGGGAGAGCACACGAGCATAAAAGCAACAGCAATCTTCTCGCTGTGATGCACCAGTGCATTCTCCTTCTCTTCCTCTTCAATATCTGCATAAACATGACCTGTGTGTGCCACGTGCCCTTCTAATCGAAGCCTCTTCGTGACCTCCACCAACTTCGCATAGATTTCCTCACTCTGTGGATGGGTTCTATCTCCAGTGTGAAATTCATGAACCTGGTTCCCCAGCTCCACAAGACTATGCCCTCGGATTTTAGCAACTCCTTCTTCAAGCATAGACTTTCTGGCCTTGTGTGCATCAGACCACCGTCGCTCTGACGCATAGAGATTAGACATGAGCACATAGTCCCCACTGTGTTTTGGCTCTAAATGAAAGAGCTTGGCTCTCGCAACCTCCGCCAATTCCACATGGCCAAACTTTGTGCAGGCTCCTAATAAGGTCCTCCAGATGACAGAATTTGGCTGCATTGGCATTTGCTGAATGTAATCGTGAGCTTGCTTAACCTTGCCAGCTCTGGCCAGAAGATCAACCATACAACCATGGTGTTCGATTTGAGGCACAATGCCATAATACTGTTTTATCTTGTCAAAGTATCGAAACCCCTCGTCGACCATGCCACAGTGGCTGCAAGCATAGAGCACACCAACGAAAGTTATCTCGCTAGGCAACCATTTTTCGGCCTCCATCTGCTTGAAATACTTCAAAGCTTCACTACCATACCCATTAACGGCCAACCCCACAATCAGAGAAGTCCAAGACACCACATTTCTCTCTACCATCTCGTCGAAGACCCTTTTAGCATCTTTAGTGCAGCCACATTTGGCGTAAAAATCCAAGAGGGCGTTAACAGAGTGTAGACTCTTGTCAAGACCGACTTTAACCATGTAGACATGAGCCCTCCTGCCCAATGCCAGGGCGCCAAGCTTAGAACATGCAGAGAACAAACTGACCATAGTGAAACCATCAGGCTTCAAACCATCCAAATCCATCTTCTGGTAAAGGGCCAGTGCCTCACTGGGTTTTCCATTGAGGGCAAATCCATTGATCACCGAGTTCCAAGTCACCAAATCTCTATTAGGCATTACCTCAAACACCTTGACCGCACTCTGGTACTGCCCACACGAGGCATACATATGGACTAGACTGTTCTGAACAAACACCAGCGACTCAAACCCACTTCTGGTTGCAATCGAGTGTATCTGTTCACCTGCTGTGATGCTAACGGCTTTAGCCACAGCCTTCAAAACAAATGGGAAAGTATGTGTATCGGGCTCTACCGAATTCGAGTGCATTAGGCCATACAACTCAATGGCCGGCTTTGGGTTTTCGCTCTCAGCATAACCTCTAATTATCGCATTCCACGTGAAAGTATTTGGGTTCTTCATCTGAGAGAAGATACTGCGGGCATAGGCCATGGGAACAGAGAGATTTACCCCGATGTATATGAGGTATTTTCCTAGGTATGGGTCTGATAATGGAACGCCACGCCTGATGGAGAGACCGTGGATTTTTTTCAGATTGAGCTTGGAAGAGCCACATATTTGCAGTAGGGAAATGCAGCTTCTCACAATGTGAGCCAGGGGGTCTCGCCAAGAAGATGAATTCAGGGGTAATCGGAGAGCCCGGACAGGAGGAGCAAGCTCGAAGTAGTGCTCAGACATATCGTGATAGGATACAATTCGAAGGCGTTTTAACTAACCTGACCTGGGAAATGATGGGGATTGAAAAAATCAGCAAAATGATCAATGTCAGCAGGAGAGTATTAAAAAAAGATTGAAGCATGGCAAGCAAAATAATGCAGAGTGTTCAATCCAAAGTCATTCAATTGCGCTCTTCAATTCTGCATTCAATAGGACGAAGTAACAAGAAGAACCGTTACTCATCACCCACATAATAGGAGCCATTATAATAGACAAAATATGCAAACTGCCTCCTGATGAGACTAAATTGGATACACGCTAGCCGCAACTCGCTTGCTGCATCGATATCCAAATGCAATTTCATTCTGAACTCCATATACCAATTACTAAAAAACAAAGGTAGGGCAATCGAAAGATATCAGCAAGAACAGAAATCCTTCTGAGACAGAGAATTACTTGTTAGCGATGTAAGCGAGGGGTTTATCGGAGCCGAAGCACTCGCACACTGAGAAAAACCAAGCCGCCGCAGCTCCGATCAATAACTTGGACGCAGAACGTCTCAGGGTAGGCCTTCCACGAGGAGGAGCAAACCTGCCGAGGCTGAGCAATCTTCTCTCCAGGCGATCGACGGGCCTGAGATGAGTCATTGTGAGTTGTGACTCGGTGAGTAACCTATTGCCTGTTCTGTTCCTGTCTGGAGTGGCTGGTCTTTCTTCTCTCGCGTTTCGTGGCGGGCAACTGTCGTTTTTAGGGTTACTCACTTGCACTGGATGTCCTTTGCGATGAACAGTTGAAACTCTAGAATGGGCTTCCATGTCACCGTTTAAGACTTCTACGTAATTAATTCTATGTTATTAGAGATTTGTTTTTTTTGGTGGGAGAGATTTTTTCAATTCAATATTCTATAGTTATAGACAGTTTGGTACCAAATCAATCGAGAATTCTTTTCATTGTAAAATGAATTATCGTGTAGAATTCATTGTCAAATGAAATCTTGTGTTTGGTATGTCATATTCAAATCTTTAGAAATAAAATGATTTGCCGTGTAGAATTCATTGTCAAATGAATTCTTGTGTTTGGTATGCCATATGTATAAGTAATTTAGTTAATAAAAGAAGATAATTATGTCATTTTATTGTAATTAGTAAATACTTGTGGAATTCATTTGGAAATTCCATCTCAATTCCTCAGAATTGCTATAACTAGTTCCAATTCCATAGAATTAATATTTAGAATTGAAAATGAATTTTTTTAAATACCAAACACAAAAATATTTCATTTCCAAATGAATTCCTCAAAACTTATGGAATTCATTTATACCAAACGGTATGTTAGTGGGTAAACCCAAAACCAAATCATATCCATTCACCACCTATGTAACCTATCATGAAGAAAATGGTGAGTGGATAAGGATTCACAATTGTATCAACTCGTTAATAAGCGGTTGTGTTAATTTAATATCGAAATTCATCAGAGTCCCTCATTGCTCACTCATGGTAGAGAGTCTCGTATTTTTTTCCATTCATAAGATTCATTGAGTTCAGTGAACCTTTTCTTAAGAAAAAACCACAATTAACATCGATAGATATTAATAAAAATTAAACTATAGCTAACATCAATGGATTCTTCGAGGAAAATGTATCATTGCTTGTAAAGAGCTAAGGAGTGTAATCAAGGGCCTAGAGCTTGTTTGGGTACAAGACACAACCAGATTCAATTACAATTTAATTCGAAAACTATAATAACCTACTCAGCCTCACATTAGAATTCTGCACCGCCACAAAATCAACATATCATGCTTATGCTAGCTATCCACAAGCTTCAACACAGCATTCACCATTCAGCAAGAGATAACGACATTAAGAAAATTAAGAAGGAATTTTTAATTAGAGATTTCATATTGATTATAACTCTTAAGCTAGAAAAAAGGGTCCAATGAAAAAGTCAAATGAAGCAGCCAACAATCACGGAGCAGGTTATATGCTAATAACCAACCGATTGTAAGACACCTAAATATTAACAACCTAACCAACGGCAAAATTAAAAAAGCATAAACAAACTAACCCTAAAAGGCTAAAAACACACCTACAAACAAGAAAAAGAGATCAGGAACCCTAAAAACAAACCCAAGGAAAAGGGGAAGAAGAAGGAAACATCAAACGAGAGACCGAACGAATCACAGAGAGAGTGCCGATGATGCAGTCTCTCTTCTTTCAATCTCTCTCTCAACATTTCCAGGACGATTAACGTCATTACATTAATCCATCCTTAATTCGGATTTCTCATTTCCCTTCCATTGCTCTTCCCCATTCCGTTCTGGTTTAATGAGTGCAGCTTAAGGAAACGAACTTTCTTTCTTCCTCCCCTGATATCGATTTCAATGGACAGTCGGCTGCGGGCATTTTCGTCGCCGGAATTGGTGAATGCTGCCGCCGTAGCTATTAACCATAACCCTTCGTCGACGATCAGCCAACCCCAACAACCCTCTCAGGATTACAGCTTAGAAGGTGAGGCTTCGATCATTTCGTCTTGCGTTATTTGATTGTGAATGTCACCGTAATCGGCTTCTGGGTTTTGTCCGGCAGGAATCGCGGCGAACGTGAAGCTACTTCTGAAAGTGATTCGGGATCACAATGAGGCGAGCGCCAGAGAGTTCGACGACCGGAAAACCCAGAGGGTCGCCGGGATGATCACCATCCTCGACGACATTAAAGCCCGGCTGGAGAGATCCCAGTCCAATTCGAAGAAAAGGGTTGCCCAGCTGCGGCGGTGCAACACGGATCTCAGGCCGAATCGCGGCGGAGGAGGGGCCGCCGCCACCGCCGAGAAGAAGGCGCCGGAGACGACAGCCATGACCGACGACAAGGAGAAGCTGAAGAAACAGCTGAGCTCGTGCAAGGCGGCGAGGAAGAGCCTGGAGATGCTGTGCTCGAGCTTGGGGAAAGAGAAGGAGATCATGGTTTCCCAACTGGCCAGGAGGGTGAGCGAGCTAAGCGAGATGGAGGAGCTCGTCAACCTTCTCAAAGCTCAGAACGAAACCTTGACGTCCAAGCTCCAGGCCTCCGGCGGATTGACAGGGGAATGTCAGGCAGGGAGCAACAACAACAGCAACAGCAGCAACGCCGTGCTGCTAGATCGGAACGAGCAGCTCTCCGACCAACTGCTGAAGTCGCTGGACAGCTACAGGGCTCTGAAGAGGAAGTACAAGGGAGCCAAGGAGGAGTGCTCGGCGCTACGAGCGGCTGTGGAGGAGGAAACGGCGGCGGGTCTGGCGAGGATCCGGAGGTTGATACAGAAGTTGGATAATAGGGAGGATGAGCCGGTGCATATTGAAGGTGAGATTCGCTCCCTGGAGAAGATGTTTGAGCAGTTCAAGGTGAAGATCTTGAAGGAGGAGGAGAAGAGAGGCCAGCATGGGAGTAAACCAGCTCCTTCTTCTTCTTCCCACCACCATGGTCGCCCATGAGTGCAATCCTTCTTGGTTTGCTTCTGTAATTGGCCTAGTTTCAGACAGTTTAGTTGTGTATCATTCCAGGCTCTCTGTAACATAAAACATTAAGCTTTGCACAGTTCCAAAATCAGAATGAAACAGTTCTTTCATTTTTGTACAGATAGCTGAGATCCCACAATAACTCATAGCTATGATTTAAAGTTTCAGAAACTCTAAAACTCAGATAATGTTGGTCAGGGAAAGGGTTGAAGCTGGCTGGCGGAAATGGAGTTCAGAACCCATAAGTTGCTCACTGCTATGGCACCTGTGGAGTCAGCCAGCGCCTTTGCATCAGTTTGCCTCTCGGTAAGAATGGAATCTTTCTTCCTCGTGTCGCCTTTTTCAGCGAGCTCCAAGTTGTAGATGACGAAGGTTGAAGAAGGTGAAGAGGTTTCTGAGACTTCGCGGACTGGCTTTCTGTGCAAGATGGTGCCTCCAGCGACGGTGATTAGGTCTTGTAGATATCCCTTGTAAGAGGGTATGAAGTCTCCCATGAAGTAGAGCTTGAAACCATCAAGTATCTTTGGTTGCTGCACGCAATGTTGTAAACAGAAAGACGGTCAGGTTGACGAAACATACAAAATTCAGCATAAGCCTGCCGACTGCTATGCTGTAGATTGACTAGTAACGAGTAAGAAACTAGACCTTGTTAAGAACTCTGAGTCTTCCAAGTCGAGGACCATCCTTGATGCCATGAATGTCGACGTTGATTTCGTATTGCTCCTCCTCAACAATTTTCTTGGCAGTCATGCAGGCCTTGATCCCTGTTCAAAACCAAACACACAACGAGGTTGGTAGGTTAGTACCATATACGTTTGTCAGAGAACTCATAAGTCCTGTAGGGGGAAAATGCAACGTACAGTCAATGTTGAGGATCCACTTCCCCAATAAAATGCCCATTAAGGTTTTGACAGTTCTTTTGCATGCTCTGTTTTCATCCAATGAAGCAATGACATGGGTAACGCTGGGATCCCATTTCTTCAGAATTTTGGCTCCTGATGTTCTCTCAAACTCTGATACAATTTTCTGTAGCAAACAACCGATGAGTTCAAATTTGTGACCTCTGAATGGCAAAATTCTGAAAGGAAGGGAATTGAGTGGTCCAGAGTCCCTTTACCCTTTCTGCATCTGTGAGAGCTGAGCAGCAAAGAACCAACTTGTCAGGTATGAAGCACGAATCAGAGCAGCGAGATCTACTGAAACCCCCATCAGAAACGTGTTTACACATGGTTGATTTTCGTCTGAAAATAAAACAACAATTAGCTGGTTATGACCACAAAAATAAAGCAAGCAGTGAAGATGCAAGTGGGAAATTAGGGTACCTTTCACGGCAGTGATCTGTATTTCTCGACTGAGAACCTTTCTCTTCATTGGGCAACTTGGCAGAATAATGAATAGGACACAGCATGACAAAGTTATCCTGTGAAAAAGAGAACAGTTAAACTTCGAATGAACAAACCTGGAGTCAGAAGGCAAGAACTGCCCTCGTAGGATTCATACTTACAGTATCCCACCGACATTCGGGGATCAACTTGGCACAAGTGACATGGAAACTCTTGCGACAACTTTTCTCATAACACCCAAGAGCAGCACCCTTGAGGTCACAACAACTGCATTTTATTCTTCTACTTCTAGCTAACTCAGCTTCAAGATTAACTGCTACATCGTCCTCAAAATAGACATTAGGTGCCCTACACAATGAGTACGTTTTCAAGATTAACCATTTGATGAGTCCGTTCTCAGGAGAAAGCAAAACTAATCTTCTGAGAATACTAACCATTCTGCACAACTTTTATGGCAATGTATGACCTTGGACTGACCAACTTGATCTGCAGCTACAGGCTTACCATTGAAATAATGAACAATCTCCCCTGAATCCTGGAGCATCGATTTTGCTCGTTTAAGTAAAGTTGCAATGAAGGTGCATACTAGCAGTTACCAAGGACAAAAATCTGAAATTGCAGAAACAAGTAAATGGTACCTCTGAGACTTTTGGAGAATGACAGAAAGCACATTGTAGGCTTTCCTGTTTAATAACACTGCCCCTGCAGTTGTCTTGAACCAGTTTCTTGCATTGTGTTCCACCTATCACTAGTAAGAATATATTATTTTTCTTAGTTTCCAATCCAAAGATAGTAGACTTTCACAGACAAAATTTGAGAGTTGCTTACCATGTTTACTCGTTTTCTTGTTCACATCAGAAACACTTTTTTCATTAAATGCAGGAACTTCGCCAGATGGTACTGTAGGATGTTTTTCTTCCTGAATTTCGCTCCTCTCTGTACCCTCTGGAGTTGCCTGTTTGACTTCATTACAATCCTTGGTCAGTTTCTTCAACTTTACAGGGCAATCAGTTTTGAAGATCTCCTTCCTCAACATTTTCCCAGTTCTCTTTCCTAGGTCGTGGGACCATTGGCGTTCAATAAATGAAACGGCCAATTTATCCACCACTGCCTCACCAGACCGCTTTACATTTTCTTGAGTACCAGGAATAGTACCATCTCTCAGTTCTGGCACACTTGTTTTCCTCTTTCTGCCTCTATGACTATCTTGAACCCCTTCAAGGAATTGTGTGTCCCTTTCAGATATCTTGGTATGATCCTCCTGATTAACGGACCTTTTACCTGTCAAATGAGTAACGAACTATTATATTTTACTAGTTTCAAAAACCCCAAATAACGGCTAGCAGTTAGAGATGACCACAATGCTTACCTTGTTCAGCAAATTTCTTGTTCACATCTGCAACACTTGTCTCGCCAATTATGTTCACTGTTGAAAAGGATACACGACGTGGTTTCCCTTGACCTATTTTGTTGCTGTTTTCACAAACTTCAACTGGCATGTTAATTTCTTCAGACTCCAGCTTCTGCTTTTTCAACCTTGTAGAGTAATCTGATTGGCAAAACCTCTCACTAAGTATTTTTCTAGTTTTCTTGGATTGATGATTTCTATCACGAACTTGGGTTTGACTAATTGAAGTACCCCATCCATCCACCAGATCATCATCAGCTAGGCTGATAGCTTCTTCTGCAACGGTAGGACTACTTCCAAGTTCTAACTCAACTGGAGAAGTACCCGTATTAGTCTTCTCGAGCCTTTCCAAACTTGTGGAAATATTCTTTCTACCACATACTTTTCTTCGACCAAGCTTGCCGGATTCCATAGTTGGAGCACCAAGCTTATTCAAACTCCTGCCACCCTTCATTTCAGTACATCTTCTCAAAATCCCACCAGAAGCACGCCCAAGTCTCTTAGTTGGTTTTCTATTGACGGTTGTGATACAGTTATTGTCGTCTCCTGTACAGGATGTAGTCTTCAGAGCGTTATTTGCTCCTTTGAAAGACGGATCAACTTTGTCAGTGTACACACCCTGCAATAGTACTTGAATGTTTAGTAAGAGCATGTGTGCACACAACTGACATATCAGCAAAATATTAAAAAAAAAATCAAATAGCAAGACAAAGTAGTTATCAAGTACGCAAGGAAGAAACAGCAATAATGACATCATTACCTGCATCTCAAGGGGAGTCGAGAAAGTATCAGCTGGGCTAGGTTTTTGTGTACATCTAAACAGCTCACTTTCAGAATCATCAGCAAAATCTGAACTACGAGCTACTTTTCCCTGCAGTAATTTCAATTGCATAAGAAGAAGAAGAAGATCTATTAGTTAACAAACTCACCACAGCTTAAGCTTTGGGGAAACATGAAGAAATTTCAACTTACAGTTGGCGACAAACTTATGGATTCACTGTCACTTGAATCCTTCATGTCACTAAACTGCGGAGTACTGAGAGGCGTTAAACTGAGAAATTCATCATCTTCAACAGGTGTACTCGACCTCTCAGGGCTTTCATCCCTCAACCAGAAGAGAGGTGAAAGCACCAGCTCCCCATTTTCATTGATAGCAGCTTTCTCATCTGAGACCACTGGATTGCTCTTAACAACATGATTAACGTTTTCGCTCAATCCAATTTCCACTTTCTGACCCCTGATCGGGGTTTCAGAAAGAGGATACTGTGGCACTTGAACTCTCTTCTTGGTTGGGAAGGAAGGCTTTGCAGTTGCAGGACCAGAAACATCCTTAGTCTTTCTTGTACTTCTCTTCTTTGATCCTTTCCCTCTTTTAAGGTTTCGGTTCCCAACTTTTTCCTCATCAGCAACACCATGAGTATCTTCTGTACCACTAATTGTGTCATCTCCAGCCTGCTTTACTTTATCTATTGACATGAACGCAAGAGTGGGTGAATATATGGTTTCGAGAAACAAATATGTCGATAAGCAAACTATAATTCAAGAAAGACCCGCCTTTCTAATTCCTATGATTAGGTTATACTTGTAGGAATTCGAGCTTAAACCTAAATATGATTCTCTGCATTGTTGATTTACCTGGAGATTTGGCTGTTGGAGCTGTCTGAGTCACAAGTATATTGAACCCAGATGCAGTTTCCATGCTTCTGTATACGCTCACTAAGTTATCCATATGTGCAGCAGGACGGATCTCTGTGGCAACAATCGAAAAATCAGAAATATAACAATTGAGTAAGCGGGAAACGGCAGCTCCCGCAATCTCAGAAATGGAGCAAGAGAGTACCCATCATTACCTCTCCGCCGATACGGCAGTGTGCAGACCGGGCAATTGGAATGGGACTTCAACGATTTCGAAATACAGGAGCTGAAAATGTCAAGCAGCATCCGAAGAATCAAAAACCGAAGCTACAAACCCTCGAATGAGAAATTTCTCAGAAAACGAAACAGCTATACGGATGGGATTCTTACTTGCAGAACACATGATTGCAGGAGAGCGATACCGCCGAATTCAACAATCCCAAGCTGCGGTACGAGAAAGAAAATGGAAATCAGAACCTGGCTAGCGAATGCGACGGTTACAAGATGAGAGAGAAGGTTGGAGAGCTTACCAGATAGGGCACTTGAGCTCTCTACCCATCTTCTCCAGGTGGCTTGGATCTCCCATCGTTTTCTTCTTCTTCTCCTCCGACGAATCGACTCGAAATGCTACGGAGCAGTTGAGAGGGACGGCGAATGAGAGAAGTCGGCAGAGCGGACGGGATAATTACTTTGCTGGCTGTGAAACCGTGAAAGGGATTTTGGGAAATATGAAGTGAATGAAAGCGTCTCGGAGAAGTGAACGGATTGGGCGCGCTATTCCTTCGCCGAAGTTTTTTTGGATTTTCAAATTTGCCTCCATAAGTTTTTCATTTTTTCAAAACAGTTTTGGCTCCGCTTGCTCCGGGTACCGGGTCGGAGTTTAAAAGTACCCGCTCCCGAGTTCGGCCCAGACGGTTCCAGGTGGTCCACGAATTGTTAAATGCAGAGTCCAATTCGGCGGCCCGGACGGTACCAGTTTTGGTCTTTAAAGTCATTTTTTAAGGATGGGTGCCCTTCAGGGTTGTCACGCCGGCCGGCGTGCCACCGATTGAACCTGGTTCAACCGATACCGGTCGTAAAACCGGCATGGCACTACTGGTATGACCGGCATGATCGATATACGAATCTCTAAGTAAAATGACCTTATTTTAGTGAGTTTAATTGATAAAAATAATTTTATTATTTATTTTATGAGTATAAAAGTTAAATATTGATGTTATTTGTTGGATTCAAGTATAAATGTCTAAGTATTGACGTTAAATGTCATGTTTAAATATGAGTATTTATAATTTTATTTGTAATATTGACCGGCATGAACCGGTACAAACCGGTATGTGCCACCGGTCGAACCATTCCACTTGCTAAACCGGCACACTGGTATAAACCGGTTTGACAACCTTGGTGCCCTTATAGGAAGTCATCTTGAATTGCACATCAAGTCGAAAACCGTGAGGATAGAGGCCCAAAGCGGACAATATCTTGTCGGGAAAAGGTTCGGGATGTTACAAGTGGTATCAGAGCCTCTCCGCGTCCCTCTTGAACGATGGTGGGGCAAACCTCAACGAGGGCGTTGACTCCCAAGGGGGGTGTATGTAACACCTTAGGCAAATCTCACATCGACAAAGCACGGGAGAGATTCATGGTTCATAAGTAGAAAACCGGCTTATGACAAGACGCGTTTTTGGGTGTAATGGAGGAGTTCTTGTGAGAACTCCGAAGTTAAACGAATTTTAAAACTTTCCTATGGGCTGATAGTGAATTAGGCAGTTAATGAGGTTAGTAGTTAATAGATAGTTAAGGATAAATGGGATTATGCAAATATAATTAATATAATTAATTAATGATTCTCTTTCTCTCTCTTCCCATGATTTTCTCCCTAACCTTCTCTATACATTATAATTAAAAAGAAATATGAAATTAATTTTATTTGATATTATTTAATATTTAATAAAATCCGAATTTAATAGTTTTCTTTTTCTAAAATGGAAATTTAAAAATTAAAATATATGTCTCTCTCACATCTTGGCAACTTCCGATTAGTGTTAACATTTTGTAATGACATTATCAATATTTATAAATTGAATCATCATTAGGGCTTTTTGTTGCATGGGTTTATGATTTTTCGTTGTTAGGTATTCGTTTGTGTTATTATTAATGTTGTTCGGCATGTTTTTTAAAAAAATTATATGACATTATTAACTTTTTATGTTATGTTTTGTTTGTAACATTAGCAAAAGTGAAATTGTGTTTTCTATTTGTTGGTTCGCAATGATTTATAATCATTTGAAGTGCTATTATCAATGTTTTTTTTTCGAAGCACAATACAACCATTAGCAAAAATTTATTTCATTTGCAACATTGCTTATGTTTAGTGATTTGAATTATTAATATTTTTTCATTTATGTCTGTAACTTTATCAAATGTCATTATCAAGAAGCATATTTGTTAGGTATTCGTTTGTTTATGACATTAGCAAAAGTTATTTTACGTTTAATGATATAACTATGGTTATTAATCTTTCAGTCTAAGTTAGTAACGTAGTTGGTGTCATTATTAATAGGTGTATATAAGCATTATCAATGTTTAAAAAAAATGAGATATTAATAATATCTAGTAAGGTACTTAACAATCATTAGTTGCTATCATTATCAAAGTTTTTGGATGCATTATCCATTAAACACATGTTACTTATTAATGTGTTTTTAGTGCTATTTGACATTAAACATTGTATGTGAATATTATTAATATTTTTTATAACAAAAATCTATTTCCTTATCAGTGACTTGATCATTCTTTATTAATGGTTTTTAATATCTTTATTAAAAGCTTGATGTCATTTATAATGTTGAAGTCGAACATTTTTACATTGATGTTTTGTGTATATTTTCAACGAAATAATTTTAGTTATCAATGATTTATTGTATTGTTATTAAAAGTTTGGTATTGAGGCGTGAATGTTGGTTTGCTTGAGCTAATATTTTTCTTGACAATGTTTGTTTGACTGAATCACACAGGTGCACTATGTCACAAGTACCCAAGATGTTGAAAATTAGTGTGCTTTATGATCATTGAGAATGATAATGTAAAGCAATATTAATTGATCATAAAACGTTAATAACGTCATTAGAAATCATTGGAAGAGGCCATTACTAGATAGTTATAAACATGATGTGAAAATGTGAATCATTAGTACTAAAAATGTCGTAAATCAATGATATTGTTATTCAACTGTTAATGACTATGTTACATAACTTTGATGATTCATTCATAGGCGTTGATGACGAAACTATAAAACGGTAGCAATTGATCCAAAATTTTTAATAATGTCATTGTAAGAAATTGATAAGTATATTGAAGTCGTTAATAATGATGAGGTATAATAATAACGATTCATTTCATAAAAGCTGATAATGTCATTGCAAAATGTTAATACTGCATTGCAAGTTGCCACTAAGTGAGAGAGAGCATATATTTTTAATTTTCAATTTTCATTTTAAAGAATAAAAAATATTAAATTCGAATTTATTAAATATTAAATAATAATATTTAATTAAATTAATTTCGAATCTCCTTTTAATTGTAGTGGAGAGAGAGGGTTATAGAGAAGATCAAGGGGGAGAGAGAAAGAGAATCATTAATGAGTAATATTAATTCTATTTTCATAATATCTTATTTATTACAACTAACTATTAACTACCTAATCTAGTATCAGCCAATAAAAATGGTTTAAGAACCTCCTTAAACAATGAGGCTTAAGGACCTGATCCAACCCGACAGTTTTGGCTTCTGAGTTCCTATTTAGGTAACCAGAGCGAGAGCGTTAAAGCATCGACTTTTAAAGAATTCTATATTGAGAGCGTGAATAGAGCGTCAATAGTATATTAGTTAATTATTTTCAAAATATAATTAAGCAATAAATACTACATTCTTATAATAAAAAATATAAAAAAATACAAACATGTCATAAAACTAATGGACAATGTAAACAACTACAAGAGAAGATTAGAGAGGGAAAGACACAAGAGAAGTGAGGGGAATAGTTCTTCTTATTCATACTCCATTTGTGATACAATAGTGTGCTCTATTTATAGGCACCCTTTGGTAACCACTACATCCTTACATCAATGCATATGAATTTGAGATAATAATAATATAGGAATGAGATTTACATGTAACTCCCAAGTGAGCATCTAATGTGGTAGGCCATTAATCATCCATATATAAATATTTACATAATACTCCCCCTTGGATGACCACTAGATTGCATTATTACGCTATCTCGTGCTGCCTCATTAAAAATCTTACCAGGAAAACCCAGTGGGAAAAACCATGGTTAAGGGAAAAAGAGTGCAGTGTGTATATGCTCCCCCTCATGACCATATCAGCTCAGGTCTTTGAGTCGTCGAACTCCAATTTCACGAACAAGTTTTACAAAGATTATCGTCGGGAGTGACTTGGTGAATAAATCTGCTAGATTCTCACTTGAACGAACTTTTTGAACAATTATTTCACCACTCTTTTGAAGATCTTGAGTGAAAAAGAACTTGGGTGGAATATGTTTTGTTCTATCTCCTTTAATATATCCTTCCTTTAATTGAGCAATGCATGCTGCATTATCTTCATACATGATCGTCGGGATCATTATTCCAAGAGATAGTTTGCACGATTCTCTGATGTGTCGGATTATAGATCTTAACCAAACACATTCACGACTTGCTTCATGAATTGCTAGGATTTTAGCATGATTGGATGATGTGGTTGTTATAGTTTGTTTTGTGGATCGCCACGAAATGGTTGTACCACCACAAGTGAACAAATATCATGTCTGAGATCTACCATTGTGGGGATCTAAGAGATATCTTGCATCTGCATATCCCACTAAATCCATCTTCGATGCACTCGAATAGAACAAGCCCATATCCGTCGTTCCTCGAAGAGCTATATCTTGCCAAACGATATATCGGGTCGTGTGAGGCTGGCTAGATACATTTATGCTCCTATCGCACTAAGATATGGCACTTCAGGGCCAAGCAATTCTTCATCACTTTCTCGAGGTCTAAATGGATCTCTTTTCACATCAAGTGATCTTACAACCATTGATTACTCAACGGGTGTGATTTGTCCATATAAAATCGCTTAAGCACCTTTTCAACATATCCTTCTTGATGCACAAAAATACCATCCTTCAAATGTTCAATCTATAATCCAAGACAAAACTTTGTTCTTCCTAAATCTTTCATTTCAAACTCTTCTTCAAGCAATCAATTGCTTTTGGAAGCTCTTCGGGAGTTCCAATGATGTTTATGTCATCAACATAAACTGATATTATAACAAACTCACTACCCGATCTCTTTAGAAAAACACATGGACAAATAGGGTCATTCTTGTATTCTTCTTTCATCAAATATTCACTGAGACGATTGTACCACATTCGTCCATATTGTTTCAATCCATACAAGGATTTGTTCAATTTGATAGAAAATTTTTCTCGAGAATGTGTTTTGTTTGCATCTGGAAAAGTGAATCCTTCAGGGAGTTTCATATATATATATATATATATATATATATATATCATTCTCAAGTGATCCATACAAATAGGCTGACACAACATCCATTAGACGCAGCTCTAGTCCTTCTCGAACTGCTAGACTAATCAAGTATAGAAACGTATTTGCATCCACTACAGGGGAGTATGTCTCCTCATAATCAATGTCAGGTCTCTGTGAGAATCCTTGTGCGACAAGACGTGATTTATATCTCACTACTTCACCCTTTTCATTTCTTTTCCGCACAAAAACCCATTTGTATCCCACTGGCTTTAAGTTTTTCTGGTGTAAGGACTATCGTTCCAAAAACCTTTCGCTTTGAAAGCGAGTTTAATTCCGCCTCAATGGCCTCTTCCCACTTTGGCCAATCATCTCTTGACTTGCATTCATCAATAGATCTTGGTTCATGATCCTCATTTTCATTCAGCACACTCAACGCTGCAGCGTAAGCAAAAACATCGCCGACGATTATTTTACTTCGGTTCCAACATTTTCCATCCAATACATAATTGATTGAGATCTCTTCATTATCAAAACTTTCAGGTACCTGATATTCTTTGGGAACTACAATCTTAGTTATGCTTGGGGACTCTTCTTGAGCTTTCATATCCTCGATTTGACCAACTTGATTCATAGCTCCTTTTCTTTTTCGAGGATTTTTATCCTTGGAACCTACTGGTCTACCACGCTTCATTCGTGGTTTAGATTCA